TGTCAGTGTTGGAATCTGTCTAATCCAACTAGTTCCTACCAAATGACAGATGAATTTGTGCTAAAATGCCATTTGATGGATCTGAATGGATGCACAGTCTCCTTTTGAAAGTTCATAAGCCTATTTGTTTGTTTGTTGTTCCCAATTATCCGGATATTCGCATTTTGTTATTGACATTTAGCAACCCTCTCCCCCTCCTGTTCAGAACAGCCCTGTGACCCATTTTCATGACACAATAATTTAACAATAGTAGAACCACTGATTTAAGGTAAATTGGACCTGGTCTTACTGTGAATGCTTGGTGCACTGTCAATTCTTCGTCATCAGTTAGGAACCTAGGTGTGCTATTTGATAGCAATCTTTCGTTAGAAAGCCACGTTTCTAGCATTTGTAAAACTGCACTTTTCCATCTCAAAAATATATCTAAATTACGACCTATTCTCTCAATGTCAAATGCAGAAATGTTAATCCATGCGTTTATGAACTCAAGGTTAGATTATTGTAATGCTTTACTGGGTGGTTGTTCTGTACGCTTAATAAACAAACTCCAAATTGTTAAAAGCGCTATATAAATAAAGGTGACTTGACTTGACACTGTATTACCCAAAAAAAAAAGAAAAAAAAAAGGCCAGCCCCACAACTCACTGAACGTGCTGAATCACTTGGAAATACATATGTCACATTATGGAAGTAAATGGATTTTAATGTATTTTGTGAATAATACAAATGTGTCTCTGACTGCACAAGCTCTGAAGATCATTCATCGGCCACAAAAATACTCCTGATGTGACAAAACAAAATAAATAAATAAATAAAAATACTGCAGTGAAAAGGCAATTTCATGATATGTAAATGGATCAGTGTTGTGTTATTAGAAAGTAATTTTAAAGCAAATGACGTATAAATATTTTATTTACTGTTCCCTCAAAAGCTCTTGCCAAATCAGCCTAATGCTAATGTTCTTCAGAAGAACGACTACATCATCTTTAATGTATTCACTCACTGTAACACCTTTCATATGTGTGTGTGTGTGTGTGTGTCATTCAACCTGAAAGTACCTCCATTCTGTCACATTTGCAGCTTTTCTACCTAACATAATGTCTTGATAAATTTTTCTTTTGTAAATCCCTAGGGCAAATTGGATTGAAACAGCTCGACAGAGTGGATAGACCATCAACAGGCTCTTAGAGCACAAGCGTACTGTTGCCTGGCAACACTTACTGATGATTTTATGTTATGCAAATATGCTGGAATTTACATACGATTTCATGTTGCTGCACGTTGAGACTAATAGGTTATTTTTTGGTGTGATCAAAAAGATTGCACTCTAAAAACAAAAACCCTAATTTTGGAGTTCGGAATCGTGCTTTCTAATGCAAATGTTTTATGTTTGTGTTTGCCCAAGTTCTGAACTTCAATCGCCGCTATGTTAATATATATGACGTGCTATTAAGATAATCAAGGCATAGCCCTGTTAAAATGCAAACAGTTCATTACAATTATAAATGTCTAGAGGCTTAAGTATTGAAATAGAAACTCTCATAAAACCACCATTTAATGCAGCTGATCGTTTTACTAAAAACACAAATTGCATTCAGACGGGTTTCTTTCATTTGAATTTAAGCCATCAGCGATAATATTTGTTGATTCAGCAAATCTATGTATATTAAGCATCTAGTAAAGGAATTAAATGCTAGCTGCTCTTGTTCCTGACCCATATACAGACAGACGGCTCCTCTTGCGAGGGGTTCTTCCCCCAAGACTTTCCCTCACACCACATAGATCATTTAACCGACAGCGCAAACTCACTGCAAATTTGTAGTTTTTCCCTGAACGCCATTGTTAATAGTTCAGCAGCAGCTGCTGCTGTGTAAAGACATTGGTTTTGATGCTTAGCTGTTATTTACTTTTCTCGTAACAAGATCATGGGAGCCTGCGAAGGTAGCGTGTTTCGTGCTGCCTGTCTCAATTCTCTGATTCGAGAAGATTTCCAGGGAACATGCTGCCGTAAACTCATGTGCAACACAATGCCATTATTTTTCAGACACCCTTTCTATAAATGTGACAGATATTGCATGTTATTTAGCTGTTTTTGTAAGCTTTCACGCCTACGGAAAAAAACAAAAAATGAATTAAAATTAAATTTTGTTTAAAATGAAGATGAAATCTCCAGTGTATATGTCACTCTTGAGGGCAGCCATGTTGAGATCACATGACCAGCTGAAGCCTTACACAAAGAAAATATATTTCCTTATTAACAATCAATATATGAAATTATTTAATGCTATTGAAAATATACAGAATAATATATCGTGTTAATATATTACAATATATTGACTAATACATAAGGAATTGCCACTTTCCATATATTTACAAATAATTAACAATATATTTACTTGTCTGTCATAATTTCAGTAATACATTTAATTATATATATATATATATATATATATAT